GCTGGCCTCCGCAAGCGAATTCAGACCCATTCTGATTTGTGGAGCCGCGTCCAGAGTGCTCTGGAGCGTCTCGGTGATGTGGCTCTCGTGCAGATTCCGAGCCATCTCAGTGTGGATGATGCCGTCCGTCGGGGTTTGAATCCTGGAGTTGTCCTGGCGAATGCTGTGGCCGACTTTGTTGCGGGCCATTTTGCGTCCCAGGTCCAGGTGCCCTATGGAGTTTCGGCGCCCGTCCGCTTCGCGGATGGCCTAGCTCGGAAAGTGCAGAATCATCTCTTGGATGTGATGTCTGATGTTGTGGAGCACGAAGGCCGTCGGCCTCCCCGACCCCCCAAGGTGAAGGTTCGGAGGTCGGCTCGCCAGCTTTTGCGCTCGGCTGCGGCTCGGACCACCCATTCGTGCCCTATCATTTGTGGGGATTTTTCGCGGTGTCAGAAATGTGGGTGCAGTTCGACCAGCCGTGATTTAACGGCTTTTCTGAATTCGCCGTGCACTCCCATGGTCTGGTCTGGATCGGTTTTTCGTCCGACGGCTGCGGTCTGTGTCAGAAGTCGTATTGTGGACCCCTCCCATGCTCTGGCTTATTGGCCTGAGGCCAATGTTTTGTGGTGCCTTACATGTGGAGCGTGCTCGACCCAGCACCTTAGAGACCTGAGTAAGGAGTGTTCGGGCCGCCTGGAGAAGGCGGGGTCTCAGAATCTGCAGAGGATCGCCCAGGGTAAGGTCCCTGGCAGCCTTGTTTGGGGGAAGGAGCGGAAGGAAAGGGCTCGGGCGAAGGGGGGGGGAAGGAGAGAGGGCGGCGAGCGCGGCCCCGCGCGCGCGTCGTGCGGCGCCTTTCGGCGCCGACGCGCTGGGCGCCGACGTCGAGGCGACCCTCGCCGCCAGGCGCCGCCCAGCCTCTCTCCCGCCCCCCGCCTGCCCCCCTCCGCCTCCCGTCGTCCCCCAGCCTGCCCAGGTGGCGTAGGTGGTTGGGTGTGCGCCACCCTGGGCAGGCCGCTGTCTGCGGTAAGGATCATTGTGATCGCTCGCTATATATATATATATATATATATATATCCTATATATATATCCTATTATATATCCTCCTCCTCCTCCTCCTCCTCCTCCTCCTCATCTCCTCTCCTCCTTCCTCCTCCTCCTCCTCCTCCTCCTTCCCCCCTGTGAAGATTTGAATCCAACTTTACCATGGAGGGGCGGGGGAACACCATAGGCTTCATCGGGCTCGGGGGGTGGCGTCTTACCTGCCTGTCATTTTCCGTGTTTCGTGTGGTGGGTCTGTCTCGTGCAGGGGCGGTGGCAATTTAAGTAAGAAGTGCTCTAACCCCAAGAACTCGGAACGATCGAGCCTCCTCATGGGGCTTGCGCCTGGGACCAGGTCCAGAGTCGATCGGTCCTTCCCTCTCTCGTCTCTTCCCTCGTTTCCCCTTCCGCCCCCTCCGCCCCTTTCTGCCTCTCGTGGGACTGGGCCGTTCTTGTGAGTCGTCACCCTTTCCTTGTGTAGTGGCGCGCTGATTGCTCAGGGAGTGACAGGCGTGCGCGAGTCGCTTAGTCGCTGAGAGGAGGAGGAGGAGGAGGAGGAGGAGGAGGAGGAGGGGGAGGAGGAGGAGGAGGAGGAGGAGGAGGAGGAGGAGGAGGAGGAGGAGGGGGAGGGGGAGTTGGAGGAGGAGGAGGAGGAGGAGGAGGAGGAGGAGAAGGAGGAGGAGGAGGAGGGAGAAGGGGAGGGCAAGCTAGGTGCGCTCGAGGCATTTATGGCGTCCTACCCTTCCCATCCATCCCTTACCATGGCGTAACTAGATGTCCTCTCTATTCGCACAGTCGTATCGAGCAGGGCATCCCGAGAGTGTGAGCGATGCATCTTAGAGCACGGCATAGCAGGGCGTATAAGAGCACACCATAGCGTAATCTGTCATAGCATGGCGTGGCGTTGTGCAGTGACGAATTGCATCACAAAACATTTCAACGCAAATAATGGCACCGCACAGCGGCACATAACAGAACATGGCATATCATGGAGTTGAAAGTCGAAGCGTCGCATGGCAGAACATGGCGTGGCAATGCGTAGTCAAGCACTGCATATCCTAGCACTGCAGCTGATGGCATGGCATCGCACAGCCTAACGCCACATAGCATTGCATTGCATGCCGTGGCATGGCGCTGGCAACAAGGACGCCAGCGCTGCAGCGGGAGCACGGTTCGGGACGAGCGGAAGTGCGGAAATGAGGCCAGCGCTGCAGCGGGAGCACGATTCGGAACGAGCGGAAGCGCGGAGATGAGGCCAGCGCTGCAGCGGGAGCACGATTCGGGACGATCGGAAGCCCGAACATGAGGCCAGTAATTCAGCGGGATCAGCATTTTGGAAACAGACCAAGCGAACATCCAACTCCCAGGAAGCCCAACTCACCAAGAGTCCGCGGAGGGGGGCCGGACATTTTCCGGACGTTCTTAGGGGCGAGGGGAGTAGTTAATATTCATATGGCAGGGCTGGACCTCAACGGTGCTTTTGCGATTTCGTGGGCCGTTTTCGTTCCTATTTCGTTCTGCGGTCGAGGTGGATGGAAGACAACACGAGAGAGCTCGAGCACAAGACGACATCGAAAAAAAACACTGTTCAGGCTCGGCCCTGGCATGTGGAGTGATTGTGGAGGGGGCGGAGGAGGTCAACACATTTTTTTGATGCTTCGAGGGCGTGGCTCGCAGACTTGGGACGGCCGCGGGCCCCCCCCCCCCGCGGCCCCCCGGGCAGCGCAGGGCCGCCCGCCCCCGCCCCCGCCGGCGCCTGCTCCCTCCCTCCCCTGGGTGCGCGGGCGACCAGGCCGGCGATGTTATTGTTTGGCATCGCTCGGACGTGTGCAGTTTTTCTCGGCGAGGGCCATCGAGGGCCATCCTTGATCATCTGGCGAGAAAACCACGCACGAAACCGACAAAAAAAACACAGGGAATGGACGTCCGAGCGATGGCCAGTCATTGTTTCTGCACGAACGAGATGGGCACGGAAAGAATGGGTACACTGCCCAGCAGCGGATCCTGTTCATTCTGAACAGGACTCGCTGTCCACGCCGCCGCGGCCCGTGTCCATTCGAGGCAGAGGGCCGCCTGCCCAACAGCGGCCGCTGTTGGTTTGGGACTTGGGACAGCACTTGTTGTTGGGCATTGTGCCCATTTTTTTCCGTACCCATTTCGGACGTCCAAATCCTAGGTGGGGTCGGAGTAGACGGGGTCGGAGGATCGCGCCGCATCGCCGCTGCATCGGTGATGCGTCTCGATGCGGAGCCCGACTTTCTCCACGCCTCGTCGCCGATGCACCGCCGACGTCGGCGATGCAGCGGCGATGCATCGTCGATGCATTGGCGATGCGGCGCGATCATCCGACCCCATCCACTCCGACTCCATCTAGGAGGCCTCTATCGTCCGCCCCAGGATCTTTGTTTTGATCGCTTGCTCCCATCGTCACGCAGTGGCGAAGCGTTCTGGCTCGCCTATGGCCCTACCACACAATGTTCTAAGGACCCTTTGTGGTTTCCACGAGATGCTCTCAGAGCATTTCTGGCGGAGGCTGTCTTGTTTCATCACATCGGGTTTCTGTTCTAAGAACACTGTTTTTGTTATTGAACATTTTCGGGTTTTCAGAACATTCCGTGGCAGGACTAATAGGAATGCCGCGACGTTCAGTCCCTGCTCAACATTGGGAAGAGCAGGCGGCGGAGGTTTAGGCCAAGGGCTTCGTTTTGGCGGCGTGGACCCCCAGAGGTCCGGACCCCCTTCCAGGACCGGTTTTTCATCCCGAGTCATTTATCGTACGAAACTCGACTGTGACCCTTCGCCGGAGTGACCTTGATTACGGGCCCGCTGGGGTCCCCCGATCGCCGAACGCGGTGCGGTAGTAGCGTCTTGCGCACTTGTGTTTGGTCCCCCCGCGGTCCCCAAAAAGCCGCGCATCAAAGTTCACTCTTAACCAGGGTCACGCTTGCGCGTAGTCTAGAGACGGGGGTTCAATGCAAACGGGGGTCAGCCAGAGCGCCAGATCTTGCAAGATTCTGCAGGGCCAGGGGTGCATTGACCTGGGCTTGCGCGCAGGATCTTGCAGGATCCTGCAGGATCTTGCAGGATCCTGCAACCCGGGTTTGCGCTCACTCGGATCAGTGCGTCCCCGGATGTCTAAGTGTCCTGGGGCCCGATGAAGGCCCCAGGAGGCCGAACATGGCCGAGCACCGTCGTGTTTGGAGGAGGAGGAGGAGGAGGAGGAGGAGAAGGAGGAGGAGGAGGAGGAGGAGGAGGAGGAGGAGGAGGAGGGGGAGGAGGAGGAGGAGGAGGAGGAGGAGGAGGAGGAGGAGGGGAGGAGGAGGAGGAGGAGGGAGGGGGAGTTGGAGGAGGAGGAGGAGGAGGAGGGGGAGGGGGAGTTGGAGGAGGAGGAGGAGGAGGAGGAGGAGGAGGACGGAGCAGACGGGTCCTGGGAGTGGGCTCCGGGCCAGGAGGAGTCAGTTATTTGTAAGGACAGAGATCAGTTATTTGTAAGGACACGTCTGGTGGTGCGACAGAGATCAGTTATTTGTAAGGAGTATGGAGGAAGGGAGGGAGGGAGGGAGGGAGGGAGGGAGGGAGGGAGGGAGGGAGGGAGGAGGAGGAGGAGGAGGAGGAGGAGAGGAGGAGGAGGAGGAGGGGAGGAGGAGGAGGAGGAGGGAGGAGGAGGAGGAGGAGGAGGAGGAGGAGGAGGAGGAGGAGAGAGGACGGAGCAGGAGGACGTCCTGGGAGTGGGCTCCGGGCCAGGAGGAGGAGGGGGAGGGGGAGGAGGGGGAGGAGGGAGGATACGGAGGAGGGGAAGGAGGAGGAGGAGGAGGAGGAGGAGGAGGAGGAGGAGGAGGAGGAGGAGAAGGAGGACGAGGAGGAGGACGAGGAGGAGGAGGAGGGGGAGGGGGAGTTGGAGGAGGAGGAGGAGGAGGAGGAGGAGGACGGAGCAGACGGGTCCTGGGAGTGGGCTCCGGGCCTGGGCCGGAGCGCCCGAGGCGCGCAACGCGTGCAGCTCGTCCTCGTCCTCCGCTGAGAGCGACCGCGCCCTCGCTCTGTACGCGGACGCGGAGGCGGGCGCGGGCGGAAACGATGCTGCCGCCAACCCAGGCCAGCCACAACTGGGGGAGCTGTGGTCCTTACACCCCTGGGGGACCCTTCGATTTCGACACCCTTCTCGAGAGGTCGTCGATGCGATGGGTTCCTCCATTGGGGGGTAAGGACCACAGCTCCCCCAATTGTGGCTGGTCGGCAACCTCCAGGGGCCACGCCAGCTGGCAACAGTCGGGCCTGTCCCTCTACACGGGGGATGTTCAAAAGTAGTCAAAACATATAGTCTGGGGACTTCTTCATTTTTTTGACCATTTTGGGGGTCTTTTTGGGGGTATTTTTCTGGGTATTTGTCATGCTCCGCCCCAGAAATCTCCCTCGAGGGGGACAGGCCCGACCTGACAATAGGCTCTGGAGGGAACTCATCGACCCGCAATTGTTCGAAGCATTGCAACAAACCCGAAGGATTGCAATCCTTTTTTTGCAATATTTTTTTTGCAATCCTTTTTTTGCAATCCTTTGTTTGCAATCCTTCGTTTTTTTTCCCCATATCCTAAGATGGGGTTCTTGTTATTCCCCATATCCTAAGATGGGGTTCTTGTTATTACTTGGACGCCTCCTACTCCTCCTCCTCCTCCTCCTTCCTCCTCCTCTTTTCTCCTCCCCTCCTGTCGGACATACTCAGACTTGCTCATACACAGACTTACTCATACTCAGACTTACTCATACTCAGACCTACTCATACTCAGACTTACTCACACTCAGACATAATCATATACAGACTTACTCATACACAGACTTACTCATACACAGTATTAGTCATACCCAGACGTACACATACACAGACTTACTCATACACAGACTTACTCATACTCAGCACCCCTAAGGGGAGCCGCCAGGGGTGGTTGCACGGGCTCGTTCGCGGCCATTTTGTGGGGATGTCTCAGGCGGTTTGCCTGTTTCTGTGCCCAACATCCTTCGCTTTCGGAGCAGATTTGGAGGATGTCTCGAGCGAGGCGCTCATTTCAGCACCCCTAAGGGGAGCCGCCAGGGGTGGTTGCACGGGCTCGTTCGCGGCCATTTTGTGGGGATGTCTCAGGCGGTTTGCCTGTTTCTGTGCCCAACATCCTTCGCTTTCGGAGCAGATTTGGAGGATGTCTCGAGCGAGGCGCTCATTTCAGCACCCCTAAGGGGAGCCGCCAGGGGTGGTTGCACGGGCTCGTTCGCGGCCATTTTGTGGGGATGTCTCAGGCGGTTTGCCTGTTTCTGTGCCCAACATCCTTCGCTTTCGGAGCAGATTTGGAGGATGTCTCGAGCGAGGCGCTCATTTCAGCACCCCTAAGGGGAGCTGGTTGCACAGTTCGGGCCATTTTGTGTCTCAGCCTGGGCAACATCGCTTTCGGAGCAGATGGAGGACGTCTCGACGAGGCGCTCTTTCAGCAGGGGAGCCGCCAGGGGTGGTTGCACGGGCTCGTTCGCGGCCATTTTGTGGGGATGTCTCAGGCGGTTTGCCTGTTTCTGTGCCCAACATCCTTCGCTTTCGGAGCAGATTTGGAGGATGTCTCGAGCGAGGCGCTCATTTCAGCACCCCTAAGGGGAGCCGCCAGGGGTGGTTGCACGGGCTCGTTCGCGGCCATTTTGTGGGGATGTCTCAGGCGGTTTGCCTGTTTCTGTGCCCAACATCCTTCGCTTTCGGAGCAGATTTGGAGGATGTCTCGAGCGAGGCGCTCATTTCAGCACCCCTAAGGGGAGCCGCCAGGGGTGGTTGCACGGGCTCGTTCGCGGCCATTTTGTGGGGATGTCTCAGGCGGTTTGCTTGTTTCTGTGCCCAACATCCTTCGCTTTCGGAGCAGATTTGGAGGATGTCTCGAGCGAGGCGCTCATTTTCACCCCCCAGGTGGGCCAGATTTTGAGGATGTCTCGATCGGTTTGCTAGTTTTGGTGGCCAGGCTCGTGGGCGCAGATTCTTCTCAGGATGCCACAGGAGGCTCCAACAGGCTCCAGGAGGCTCCAGGAGACCACATGAGGTCCCAGGAGGCATCAGGAGGCCACAGAAAGACTCAAGAGGCCACAGGATGTCCCAAGAGGCTCCAGGAGGCCCCAGGAAGCTCCAGAAGGCCTCAGGAAACCACAGGAGACCCCAGGAGACAACAGGAAGAGGAGGGAAGGCAGAGGCCCCGAGAGGCCCCAGAGCAGGAGGCCTCAGAAGGCAAGGAGTGGCTCCAATCCCATGTGTTTTACGTATGCTCCTATCGATTGGGCCTCACCTGGAGCACGATTCTTTGATGTTCTACGTATGTTTCTATAGATGGTCCTTCTCCTGTGTACACAATCCTAAATGTTTTACTCATGTTCCTATGTATTGGGCCTCTCCTGGGGCACGAGTCCTTGGTGTTTTACGCGTGTTCCTATAGATTGCCCTTCTCCTGTGGCTCTAATCCGCAATGTTTTATGTACGTCTGTTGCTATAGATTGCGCCTCTCCTGGGGCACGAAACCTTCCTAGGAGGTCCCAGGAGGTCCCAAGAGGCTCCTGGAGACCCCAGGAAGCCCCAGTAGGTTTCAGGAGGCCCCAGGAGGCCCCAGGCTCATGCACAGAGACGCGCTCGTACTACTGAGGCTCATTCACACTCCAATTCATTCGCAGTTAGATTGATGTCCAGACCGTCACAACTGAAGCCCGTTAATATTCGAAAGCTCTTGCGCCTAGACATTCACGGCGGACAGGTCCATGCGAGTAGATGCACATATGGGGAGCTCCACGCAGTGAATAATTACTTGGACGCCTCCTACTCCTCCTCCTTCCTCCTCCTCTTTTCTCCTCCCCTCCTGTCGGACATACTCAGACTTGCTCATACACAGACTTACTCATACTCAGACTTACTCATACTCAGACCTACTCATCCTCAGACTTACTCATACTCAGACATACTCATATACAGACTTACTCATGCACAGACTTACTCATACACAGTATTAGTCATACCCAGACGTACACATACACAGACTTACTCATACACAGACTTACTCATACTCAGCACCCCTAAGGGGAGCCGCCAGGGGTGGTTGCACGGGCTCGTTCGCGGCCATTTTGTGGGGATGTCTCAGGCGGTTTGCCTGTTTCTGTGCCCAACATCCTTCGCTTTCGGAGCAGATTTGGAGGATGTCTCGAGCGAGGCGCTCATTTCAGCACCCCTAAGGGGAGCCGCCAGGGGTGGTTGCACGGGCTCGTTCGCGGCCATTTTGTGGGGATGTCTCAGGCGGTTTGCCTGTTTCTGTGCCCAACATCCTTCGCTTTCGGAGCAGATTTGGAGGATGTCTCGAGCGAGGCGCTCATTTCAGCACCCCTAAGGGGAGCCGCCAGGGGTGGTTGCACGGGCTCGTTCGCGGCCATTTTGTGGGGATGTCTCAGGCGGTTTGCCTGTTTCTGTGCCCAACATCCTTCGCTTTCGGGGCAGATTTGGAGGATGTCTCGAGCGAGGCGCTCATTTCAGCACCCCTAAGGGGAGCCGCCAGGGGTGGTTGCACGGGCTCGTTCGCGGCCATTTTGTGGGGATGTCTCAGGCGGTTTGCCTGTTTCTGTGCCCAACATCCTTCGCTTTCGGAGCAGATTTGGAGGATGTCTCGAGCGAGGCGCTCATTTCAGCACCCCTAAGGGGAGCCGCCAGGGGTGGTTGCACGGGCTCGTTCGCGGCCATTTTGTGGGGATGTCTCAGGCGGTTTGCCTGTTTCTGTGCCCAACATCCTTCGCTTTCGGAGCAGATTTGGAGGATGTCTCGAGCGAGGCGCTCATTTTCACCCCCCAGGTGGGCCAGATTTTGAGGATGTCTCGATCGGTTTGCTAGTTTTGGTGGCCAGGCTCGTGGGCGCAGATTCTTCTCAGGATGCCACAGGAGGCTCCAACAGGCTCCAGGAGGCTCCAGGAGACCACATGAGGTCCCAGGAGGCATCAGGAGGCCACAGAAAGACTCAAGAGGCCACAGGATGTCCCAAGAGGCTCCAGGAGGCCCCAGGAAGCTCCAGAAGGCCTCAGGAAACCACAGGAGACCCCAGGAGACAACAGGAAGCGCCAGGAGGCCTCGGAAGGCAACAGGAGGCCCCGAGAGGCCCCAGGAGCAGGAGGCCTCAGAAGGCAACAGGAGTGGCTCCAATCCCATGTGTTTTACGTATGCTCCTATCGATTGGGCCTCACCTGGAGCACGATTCTTTGATGTTCTACGTATGTTTCTATAGATGGTCCTTCTCCTGTGTACACAATCCTAAATGTTTTACTCATGTTCCTATGTATTGGGCCTCTCCTGGGGCACGAGTCCTTGGTGTTTTACGCGTGTTCCTATAGATTGCCCTTCTCCTGTGGCTCTAATCCGCAATGTTTTATGCACGTCTGTTGCTATAGATTGCGCCTCCCCTGGGGCACGAAACCTTCCTAGGAGGTCCCAGGAGGTCCCAAGAGGCTCCTGGAGACCCCAGGAAGCCCCAGTAGGTTTCAGGAGGCCCCAGGAGGCCCCAGGCTCATGCACAGAGACGCGCTCGTACTACTGAGGCTCATTCACACTCCAATTCATTCGCAGTTAGATTGATGTCCAGACCGTCACAACTGAAGCCCGTTAATATTCGAAAGCTCTTGCGCCTAGACATTCACGGCGGACAGGTCCATGCGAGTAGATGCACATATGGGGAGCTCCACGCAGTGAATAATGCAATTCATCGCCGATGGGGCCCTGACAGCCCACCCCCCGCCAAGGACGGGGTGTTCGGTTCCGCTGCCCATCGGGGGCCCGCTGCCGCCCGCCTTGCCGCCCCAGCGGTCCTCGAGCCTCGTCGAGGGCTCCCGCCTCCCTCCGTCCGTCCGTCCCTCCCTCCCTCCCTCCCTCCCTCCGTCCTCCGTCCCTCATACCCTCCCTCCCTCCCTCCCTCCCCGCCTCCCTCCGTCCTCCGTCCGTCCGTCCCTCATACCGCTTCGAGGTCTTCGGCCGCTTCTGGCGTCCGGGGGCCCTCGGCGGGCGTCCGAAGATAGCGCGGGAGGGAGCCTCGGTCCCGGGGAAGGTAGCTGGGCTTCTGGGGGTTCCCTCAGGGAGGGGGCCAGGGAGAGAGGGGAGTCAGCGAGGCAAGCCATATCGATGCCGCTGCTCATCCTGGAAGGTCGTCGTCCCCGCGGCTGGATTCTCCTCGCAATTCTGGTCAGAATGCACCCCAGGAGAGGTCCGGGGAGTAGCGGTATCGGTACTTTTGTGTCTCCCCAGGGAGGAGGAGGAGGAGGAGGAGGAGGAGGAGGAGGAGGAGGAAAAGGAGGAAGAGGACCAGTGTAATCGCAAGGCCCCTCGACTATATTGCAATACAGCCTCACTCCAAGTTCCGTTTTCACATGTTCCTTTAAAGACATATTTTCATTGGGGGAAGTGTCCCGTTGGAAGGCAATCGTCTCAAAGTCCGGAACCTTGTCAAAACACAATTCCTGGGACTTCAACGCCGCGAAACAATTTTGCTGTTGCGTCCTGGCAATCCTGAATCGTGCCAGAACATTACTCCTGGGACGTCAGCACTGCTCACCAACATGACTGTTGCGCCCTCTGAGTCCCGCATCGGGCAAATGCAGCGTTTTTGAGATGTCAGCCATGCGAATCCTTCACACTGTTGTAACTTCTTAAGACGAGTGTGCTCAGCGCTCAGGCGAGAGCCACATTGTGAGAATGAGTCGCCCTCCACCCGTGAAACTGGTGCAAGCTTCTAGGACGAATGTGCGTGGCGTCGAGGCGAGAACAACATTTTGAAAACAGCCTGCCCCCCATCCGTGAAACTCCTGCAGACTTTCTGGACGAATGTGCGCGGCCCTTTGGCGAGAGCCGCATTTTGAACACGCCCCACCTCTCCACCTGTGAAGCTTTGGCAGACGTTGAAAACGAAGGTGCGCGGCGCTGAGGCGAGAGCAACGTTTCGAAGGCCACCCGCCCTCTGTCCGCGAAGCTGCTGCACATCCCCCAAGCTGCAGGACCGTACACGGTGGGGGCGTCTCCGGCAAGACGCCGGGGCCGCCCTGCCAACTTGTCTCGGGGTGCGGCAGGGAGGAGGTTTGTCCCAAGGGGCGGGGAGGGAGGAGGAAGACCAGTGTAAGCCCACGGCGCACCATCGGTATTGACATGCATCCTTCCACCACGCTCACAACACTTGCGCTGTCCTTGCGGGAAGTGCGCACTTGGAAGGCAGCCGTCTGAGAAACCTCCAATCGTGCCTGAGCACCACTCCTGGGACTTCCATCGCGTGAATCAGCGTGAGCGTTGCGTCTTGCCAATCCTGAGTCGTGCCAGAACCGCGTTCTTGGGACTTCAACGCCGCGAATCAGCGCGACTGTTGCACCCTGAGAATCCTGAAGTGACTGATGCAACAGGGCGCGGTTCTGCAGCGAGAGCCACACTTTGCATGCCACCCGCTCTCCATCCTTGAAGCTCCTGCAGGTTTCTGAGACGTGTGTGCGCGGCGCTAAGGCGAGAACCTCATTTATCTGAGCGTGAATCACCTACCCCGCTTTCGCTTCCAGGCAAAACCAAGCCATACCACGCGCCTCCTCGTCAGGCGGCCTGACCAGTACAGGCCGTAGTTTGGCATCGCTTGGTATCTCTTGAAAGCGAGGGTGGTCAAAAGCGAGGTAGGTTTGTTTTCCCCCTAGCTAAGGCGAGAACCTCATTTAGCAGGCCACCCGCCCTCCACCCTTGCTGCTACAACGTTCCGAGCTTTCGGATCACCGCCGGCGAGGAAAAATCTCGGGCGACACGCCTGGCCTGCCCCATCGACACGTCTGGGTGGTGCGACAGAGATCAGTTGTTTGTAAGGAGTATGGAGGGAGGGAGGGAGGGAGGCAGGGAGGGAGGGAGGGAGGGAGGGAGGAGGAGGAGGAGGAGGAGGAGGAGGAGGAGGATCAGGAGGAGTAGGAGCAGGAGGAGGAGGAGGAGGAGGAGGAGGATCAGGAGGAGTAGGAGCAGGAGGAGGAGGAGGAGGAGGACTAAGGGTTGGCCTGCCTTTGCAAAGGCAGGTCCCGCTGGGAGGGATTAGGGATGGAGACCCTCGAGGATGCTCGAGGGAGTTCGGTGGCTCCGAGCCGGGGTGCCCCTCCTCCAGTGAGTCGCGCCTCCCTGGAATCGTTCGAGGTTGTGCCAAAGTCCCCATGCGGGTTGAACTGCGGTAGGAAGGTTGGTCGGGGATGCAGACAACCAGGGGAGAAGGAACAGACCCAGACGAACGAGCGTGCGAGGAGTGGGATGTGAGCTCGAGGAGGAGGAGGAGGAGGAGGAGGAGGAGGAGGAGGAGGAGGAGGGACGAGGAGGGGGAGGGAAAAGGAGGGAGGAGGAGTAGAGAGAGGGAGGAGGGACCAAGGAACATGAGGAGGGGGATGAGGGACGCGAACGCGGAGGCGGTGCGCCTGAAGACGCCGCCGCCCACCACGCGCAACGCGTCTGTAGCCTTCGGACAGGACGCCGCCGGCCGGCCTGGAGCCCTAACCAGGGCGGCCGCTGCAGGTCTCCACTGCCACCGGGGCCGACGGAGGGATGATGGAGGAAGAGCTCGGTCCGAGAAGCGGCGACGCTTTTTCTTACGTTTCGAAGACATGTCGCACGTCGACCGTTGTAGTTGTTTTGGGGGGGATTCCCCGATCCCAATCTACTTCATGCGCCTTCCTACTTCAAGCGTCGACCTGTTTTTGCTGTTTTTTGTGATTCTTTGGACGGGCCCGAGCCCCATTAAGTTGATCCGCCTTCCTGCTTCATGTGTTTACCTACTTCTTCCGACCGACGTGTAAGCCGCTTCTTTGGTCCAGGCCTCCCGAAGGGAGTCCGAGCAGATGGGATCGGAGGATCGCGCCGCATCGCCGATGCGTCGGCGATGCGGCTCGATGTGGAGGCCAATGTCCGCTTTCCAGCCGTCGCCGATGCATCGCCGATGCATCGCCGATGCATCGGCGATGCATCGGCGATGCGGTGGTTTCCTCCGACCCCACCTGCTCGGACCCCACTCTAGCGATGCAGAGAAAGCCTCCCGCGTAAGGTCGCGCGTGGCTGTCCTAGTCTCCTGTGTGGCGTGCCGCGCTGGAGGTCCGCGTAAACCATCGCGTAACGTCGCTATGTCGTCTCGCGTGAGACCCGTTTCTTTTCGTCGCCCAATGGGGAGGCCCCCGTCTGGTCAGTGCAAGCGTGCCTGCGCAGCCAGACCTCCCTTCCCCGAGAGGGGAAGCGAATCGGCGGCTCGGCTCTGACGTCGGGGACCTCGGCCGCGTCCCCTCTGGCAGTTCTTGGCCATCTGCATGGACAACGTTCTGGGGGGGATGGACGACAGTCGAAACCGATAGTAAGGATGATTGCCTTCCCAAGGGTATCCTTGCATCCGAGCCTCTTCGGTCGTCTTCGGCCCATCCTCAACCACTCTCGATGGCCAGCCCCGCTTGAAAAGCTTCGGCATGAGCGTCCAAGGTCCCTGTGTCCTTACCACGCATCCTTACTATCAGTTTTGACTGTAGGGGGGCATGCGTCGACCCCCAATTGTTGACTGATCGCCGATAGGGGCCCGCTAGCCCGCCCCGCCCGGGAGCGTGCGGATTCGCTGTCGGGGCCTGTCGCCGATCTCTCGGCGATGTATCGCCGATTCCAGGTCGATGTTTCCTCCCCTGAGCCAGTCCCCCCCCCTTTCACGCTCCCCCTCAAATCTCTGGCTCTCTGGGGGGCTTCGAAGTCCTCCAGGCACGCGTAGGGGGGGTAGGGGGAGGGGGGAAGGCCTCTTAGAAGCACCCCTGTTTCTTTGAAGGCTCGGGCCTCATCCACGAATGTATGGCCCACGCCTTCTAAGAAGCAGCCTCCTACGAAGCTTTCCCCCGCTCTCCCTACTCCTCGTGCGCGCCGCCAACTCTCTTCGAGTAGGAGATCGACTACACACCTGATGAATCCCAAGCTGCAACATCTCCGTCGAATCTGCGAAACAGATACGTACAATGTCAGTATGCCTACGTAGATTCTACGCTTGTTTCGCAGATTCGACGAACATTTCCATGTAGGGGTTGATCAGTTCTTTCGTCGGAATCCTTCGGGACGAGGTAGAAGATCGAGGTCGGTTCGGGGAGGGCACCTTACTAGCCTCCGTGCTTGCCGGATGCTCTTGTTCAGCCTGGGGAGGGTATCTTTGGATGTTCTGCGTGCTCTGGCCGGCGGAGGGTCTCATGCTCTTGAAGGATGCTCTCCTGACATAGGCCCAGCCGTGCTCGATCTCCTGGGCGGGGCGCCGCCGGCTCCAGGGAGACCCCCGGGGAGGCCTCCGGAGAGCCCCCGCGTAGTGGGAATGTTTCAGACGAGCAACATATTTCCGCGCTCTTGCCCGAGTTGCCGCAAGGAGAACGGCAAGAGGGACCCCCTTGCTCTTCTGCTCGGATGTCCAGAGGATGAGGAGGAGGACGTCGCTGAAGTCGTCGCTGTTGTCGTCATCGTGTCGCGCCCGTCGTCTACGCGCACTCGCTCTCACACCCACTTACTCGCAGGCAGAGTTTATGAGCGAGACGTGTCAGGAGTATGAGTAGGATATGGGAGGAAGGGGTATAATGGCAGATGTGGTGAAGGCGCACCTAGCCTGCCCCTCCCCTCTCTCCCTGCTCCCCCTGACCTCCATCCCTCCACCGATCTCGCCCGTCCTCCCCTCTCCGTCATCCCATTCCCGCCGTTCTGGGGCTGCCAGGCGTGTCCCGTCAAGGTGTCCCCGGCTTTCCTGGGCGCTTTGTGTGATGTTCGTGAACATCTCTTCGGGGCTGCGGGGTCCTCCCTGGATCTCTTGGGGGCACCTCCGGCCAGTGACGCTCTCCCCTGACATCCGCCTACCTGTGTTTCCCAATCCTCGGCTCTGGTGGTCCCGACGGCTTCCCCAGGGGTTGAATTTTCGCTTCAGATCCATTTCTGACGGTCCCAGGGTTTGATCATGTGATGGGCCTGTTTTCCACAACCACCATAAGTTGGAGGGGGGGAGGAGGTGGCGGAGGAGGAGGAGGAGGAGGAGGAGGAGGAGGAGGAGGAGGAGGAGGAGGAGGACCCCTCCCCCCTCCAACTTATGGTGGTGGTGGTGGTGGAAAATAGGCCCATCATCATTGGCCCCCGATGCCGAAATCGAGGAAAGAACGTCCCGAGTGAACAAAAGTCAGATCGTCGGACATCTGGGCTCTGGGCAGCCCCCCGAGCCGCGGGCTGCTTGCCGCCGAGCCCGGGCGGCCCGAGGACCCCCGCACCCTCGCCCTGTACGAAGACGCGGAGGCGCTGCGGCTGAAGACGCCGCCAGTCAGCGCGCGTGGCGCGGCCGCCCAGGGCGAGGACTGCCCTCGCGGTCGGCAGTTGTTTTCGTGTGCGTGTGTGTGTGTGTGTGTGTGTGTGTGTGTGTGTGTGTGTGTGCGTGCGTGCGTGCGTGCGTGCGTGCGTGCGTGCGTGCGTGCGTGCGTGCGTGCGTGCGCGCGTGTGTGTGTGTGTGTTTGTAAGTGTGTGTGTGTGTGTTTGTGTGTGTGTGCGTGTGTGTGTGTGTGTGTGTGCGCGTGTGTGCGTCCGTGCGTGTGTGTGTGTGTGTTTGTGTGTGATGCTCCTCTCCTCTTGCATGCGGGACACTCCACAGCACCGTGGCCCGGGTTGCACGGACGCGCGTGCGCACTGCCTTCGCCGCGCTGCGACGCCGCAGGTGTGTTGTTCCTCTCTTGCGTGCGCCGGTTTCGCTGCTCTTTCACCTTGGCGCGCCGATGTGCCCAGCGCGGTCCGCCGCCTGCAGCGTCTGGTGGAGTCATCTCCTGCACGCCCATTCGCCCACGCAGCTTCTTTTTCTGCACGTCGGCTTGCCTTGCACAGTCCCCTGACGGTCAAGCCAGGTGGAATTGACGTTCAGTGTGTCGCCGCCTTCTCTCTTGCTGCAGACATGCCGCCTGCTGTGCCTGGTTCTCAGAATGCGAAAACGTTGCCGTGCCATGCAGTGCCGCCCATGTGTCATATCATGCAACGTTGTTGTTTTGAGTCTCCATTCTGGCGTAATTTCAAGGCCGCCATTGAGTGAGGCATTTGTGCCACTCGATGGGTTTCGCATCAGGACGCTAGCGTGTGTGCGTTTGTGTGTGTGAGAGTGTGTGTGTGTGTGTGTGTGTGCGTGCGTGCGTGCGTGCGTGCGTGCGGGCGGGCGTGCGCGCGCGGGTGTGTGTGTGTGTGTGTGTGTTTGCGTGAGTGTGTGTGTGTGTGTGGGTGTGTGGGGGAGTGTGCGTGTGCGTGTGTGCGTGTGTGCTTGTGTGCGTGTATGTGTGTGTGTGTGTGTATGTGCGTGTGCGACGGCACCCAGGACAAAATTGCATAGTCCATCGCGGCTACCGGCTTCTGGCTTTAACGGACAACTCCACCACTGCTCCCCGGGTGTCTTTACCAGGCGCTGCAGAAGCAGGCCCACGCGAAATTGCAATCCTCCATGCCTCCAGGCCCGCCCCGTAGGCATTCAGAAGCAAACATACTGCAAATTGTGAGCATACAGTCGCAGTATCCTTGATACTCGGCTCCATCTTACATCGGAACCCTCCATCCCTCCAGGCTCCCCCAGCAAGTATCCAGACAGATGATAAGTTCGTTTTGCGGGCATACCCCCCTGCATTTCCTGGTGTGCCCGCAGTGTGCCTGGTTCGCCTGGTGCTTGAGTGCCTGGGGTGTTGGTGTGCTTGGTGTGCCCAGTGTGCTCGGCAGCAGGGTGGAACCACGAGTTCGGAATAAGGAAATGAGGAGGAATATCAACAATGAAGCAAGACATAATTGTAATCCAGGTGCAGAAATATGCAGCATGACGGGATCGGAGGAGGAGGAGGAGGAGGAGGGGGAGGAGGAGCGGGAGGAGGAGGAGGACCAGTATAAACCCAAGACCTATCAACGATGGTAGAATACACCCTCCCTCCAAGCTCCCTCTTCATAGACCCATACAAGGGTTTATTCCCGCTCATGGAAATGCCCCGTTGGGAGACAACCGTTGGAAGATCCTGAAGCGCATCAAAACACCATTCTCGGAAGTTCAACGTCACTAATCATCTTCTCTGTTGCGTCTTCAGGATCCCGACTCGTGCCACGACACCGTTCCTAGGACTTCAACGCCTCGAATCCAAGTAACTGTTGCGCCCTGACAATCCTGAATCGTTCCAAAACGCGGTTCATGGTACGTTAACCATCAGATTCTGTCAACCTCCTTACAACTTCTTGAGACAACTGTGCGCGGCGCTCTTGCGAGAGCCACATTTTGAAATTGAGCAGACCTCAATCTGTGAAGCTCGTGTATGTTTAAGACGAGTGTGCCCGGCGCTGAGGCGAGGGCCACATGTTGAAATCGGCCGGCCCTCAGTCCGTGAAGCTCTTGCAACTCTGTAAGACGAATGTGCGCGGCGCTAATGCAAGAGCCACGTTGAAAACCACAAAGAAGAGATGGAGGAGGAGGAGGAGGAGGAGAAGAGGAGGAGGAGGAGGAGGAGAAGAGGAGGAGGAGGAGAAGGAGGAGGAGGAGGACGAGGAGCAGGAGGAGGAGAAGGAGGAGGAGGTGGAGGAGGAGGAGGAGGAGGGGGGAGGTTACGTACACAGCTCTCCTTTCTGCTTGCGCATAACGCGACGGGGTCCTTTCTGGTGTCCTACCTCGGCCTCACTCCTCCATCCTGCCCCTCTCCCCCCTTCCTCCCTCCTGCCATCTATCGTCCCTGTTCCCTCCTCCCCCCCCTCATTTGGCACTTTGTCCTTCCTCCCTCTTCTCCTTTCTCCTCCCCTCCTGGCTTGCCCCTAGCGCCCCGTCCGTCGTCCTCCTGTGCTTCTGCCGCGAGGAGAGCATCTTCGACCTGTACTCGGATGCGGAGGCGCTGCGGCTAAAGACGCCGCGGGCTTCCTCGCGGGATCCGGTCGCTGCTCAGCGAGAACCGGAGGCGCTTCTCCCCACCGCCCTTACTTACAGTGGAGAAAGAGAGGGAGAGATGGAGGAGGCATGATGAGGAGGATTGGATTGGATTAGGTTGGTTTCGACCTGATTGTAGTGCTGAGGGCAGGCTGGAATATTTTAGAGCTGCGTGTCAGAACTCTCTCTGTGTTGCTGGCCGCCGCGGAAGAGGAGGAGGAGGAGGAGGAGGAGGAGGAGGAGGAGGAGGAGGAGGAGGAGGAGGAGGAGGAGGAGGAGGAGGGACGAGGAGGAGGAGGAGGAGGAGGAGGAGGGATGAGGAGGAGGACAAGTGTAAACCCAAGACGCATCAACGGCGTTGCAATGCATCCTCTTTCGACGCTTCATCTGTATAGGTCCCAACAAGAATGTATTGTCATTACGATAAGTGCACTTTTGGAAGACAACCGCGTCCTGACAGTCCTTGCCAGAGCACTACTCCTGGGACGTCAGCACCGCGAATCAACGTGACTATAGCGTCGTGACGAGCCCAAGTCGTGCGAGAATGCCATTCCTGGGGCGTCGCTGGAGCCAGCATGGCCAGAGGGGCGGAGGAGGCTGAAAGGGTGAAATGTGCATCTGCAAGATGCCTCGCCGCGACGCGGCTGGCCCGTTTCGGGCCGATCTCCTCTTGGGGAGAGGCCACAATTCGGCAGCCTCGGCCTTGGCGAGCTTCGCCGCCCGCCTCCGCTCCTTAGCCCATCCCACCGCCAAGAGGCGGAGGAGGAGGAGGAGGAGGATAAGCAGGGGGAGGAGGAGGAGGAGGAGGAGGAGGAGGTGGAGGAGAAGCAGGAGGAGGATGAGGAGGTGGAGGACGAGGAGGAGGAGGAGGAGGAGGAGGAGGAGGAGGAGGAGGATCCTCCTTCTTTCCCTACTCATCAGGTGAGTCGCTTTCCTCCGTCGTCGCCGTGCCGTCGCCCCCCTCTTCCCCCCTCGCCCCCCAGGGGCAGCGGAGGACGTGGCTGCCCCGCCCCCTGGGGGGGTCCCCTGTGTGCTCGAAGCCGTTTCCTATTTGCAGCCAGCCTGCATATCACCAGCCTCGAACTTATCCCTATCCCTAGGATTGACACGCCAAAAGGCGATGACAGTCTTAGGGGTGCGCCCTGAAAGACTAAGGGAGTCCCTAAGATTGGCATTGTGATGAGGCGATGTCCAGCTTAGAGATAGGGATATGGTCCAGGCTGGTAAGCACAGCAGGGCCGAGCGACCTTCCAAGGCCATACCCTTGCATCCTTCTCCCTCGTCCCATCGTTGGCCGCGTTCGCCGGCCGCGCCCCGCTCGCAATGTGTCGACATGGTCTTCCGAGGCCCTCTGCAGTAAGTCGGGCGTGCCCCTGTACACGGGGAATCTGTCAAAATAGTCACAAAGTAGCCTGGGGACGATTTTCCGATTATTTATTGATTGTTTGTATTGTTGTTTCCTCCAAAACCGCCTGTAGGAGGACATGTCCGACTTGACACTCGCCTGATCCCCCCCCCTCCCCGGGGACGACCGCCCCCGTGGGGTGGGGGGGAGCGCGTCGAAGTCGTCCACGGTCATGTCCGCAGCGGCAGTGCCAGGAGGAGGAGGAGGAGTAGGAACCGAGGAGGAGGAGGAGGAGGAGGAGGAGGAGGAGGAGGAGGAGGAGGAGGAGGGGGAGGAGGAGCGGGAGGAGGAGGAGGACCAGTGTAAACCCGAGAGTCATCAACGATGTTGGAATTCACCCTCCCTCCAAGCTCACTCATCATAGGCCCCTGCAGGAGGTCCATTTCCATTGAGGGAGCTGCTTCGTTGGAAGACACCGTTTGAAAACGCTGAAGCATGCCAAGACATTGTTCCCGGGATTTCAACGCTACGGATCAACTTGATTGCTGCGTCTTGACGATCCGGAATCGTGCCAGAACGCAATTTTTTGGACTCCAGCGCCGCGAATCAACATAATTGCTGCGCCCCCATAATCCTGAACCTTTCCAAAACATCATTTCCGGTACGTTGAGCATGGAAACCAGTGAAACTCTTGCAAATGTTTAAACGAGTGTGCGCGTCGCTAAGGCGAGAGCTACATATTGAAAAGGAACCACGAACAATCCGTGAAACTCTTGCAGTTTTGTCAAACGAATGTGCGCGTCGCTAAGGCGAGAGCCACATTTAAAAAAAGACCCGCCCAATCTTTGAAACCCTATCACATGTTAAAAACGAATGTTCGCGGTGCTAAGGCGAGAGCCACATTTTGAAAACCACTGGCCCTCCATCTGGAAACTGTTCAGAGTGCCTCCAACTGCTGCAACTTGTAAGTTTCAGAGTCATGAATGGCAAGGAAGTCTCATGCAAAAAGCCCGGCCCGCCCTAAAAACTGGCCTCGGGGTGCGACAGGAGAAAGATGTTTATAAGGGAAAGGAATGGAGGAGAAGAAGGAGGAGAAGAAGGAGGAGAAGGAGGAGGAGGAGGACGAGGAGGAGGAGGAGGAGGAAAGAGAGGAGGATAGGTGTGGAAGAGCCCCGGGCCTGGCCCCAGAGGCTTTCTACTTGAAGAACGGCCTCCACCCGGTCGGCGCCTCAAAGGTCCTCGGAAACTTCAAGGGTCCCCCCGCCGCCGAGTCGCTGCTGTTCGCGGGCCTGTGCGTCGACGACTCGCCCTCACCAGCGCGCACGAAGCCGAAGGTCAAGGTATCCAAGGTTGGTGGCTCGAAGCGCCGCCCTCGCCCCGTACCTCGGCGTGAAGCCAGGTCCTGGAAGAGATGGGTCCTCCCCTTCTTTTCGACTGTGGCCCCCTCCCCTGGGCCCGTGCAGTTGTCATCAAACGGCTCGGGATGAAGAGCTGGTGCTGCGGAAGGCCCTGGGGCCCAGGACCCTTTCTTCCGCCAGGATCCCCGCTCCCCCGTGCCATTTTCTGATACTCGCCTCCTCCCCTCTCCCTCTTCCCTCCTCCACCTCCTCCCTTCTCCTTCCTTTTTCCTCCTTTCTCCTCCGGCCGTCGCAATTTTGGCTCAAGGCTCCATGTCTTGTAGGCTGTCAGCCCCGACGCAAACCAGGCACAGATGATCCGACCCTTTTTTTGCAGCCACGCGTTGGCTGTGCGCTGGTCCGCGGCCATGAGATGACCAGCTGCCGGCGGCAAGTCCCGCCACCGTGTCAGCTCGGTGCTCTGGGTGGTGACTCCTCGAGGGGCGCACAGAAGGCTGTAATGCGTTACGCGCCGGGCCCAGTGGCCTGGAAGATTTGTAGCATGTGGGACGCGCTTTTTGCGTCGTGCCGATGTGTCTCTCCTCGTCCTCGGCTTCTTCCTCGTCCCGTCATGCTGTTCCCTTCTCTCTACGTTTCTCCTACCCCTCCTCCTCGGCTTAAGTCGGGCCTGCCCCTCTACAGGGGGAATATTCAAAGATAGGACAAATAGCCTGGGGACCCAGAGTCGGTCGATGTTGAAAGAGCTGGAGTTTCGGACATGGCCGATCGTTCAAGGTTGAACGATCCCCGCGGTGTCAGGTGCCAGCGCCGAAGTCAGCACGACGCGAACCTGCCGTAGGCCAGGTCGGTGGATCGCGCCGCATTGGCGATGCATTACCGATGTGGCTCGATATGGAGCCCCACGTTCTCCACGCTGGCGTTTCCGACGCATCGCCGACGTCACCGATGCGGCGCGATCTTCCGACCCCATTTACTCGGACCCCATCTAGGAAGCCTCCAGTAAGACGTCGGACTGGGCTAGGACGAGGAGCAGTCCGTTCCAGGCCGTTCCAGAGCGCTCTCAGAGCGTTCTGGAACGCTCCGAGAAGGCCGCGGCGCCCGAGACGTCCTCCAGAGCTGCCTGACCGCAGAGGTTCTCGATTCGCCTCACCCGATTTGGGCCCCGTCCTGGCCTCGTCTTCAGACGGCCTGCGTGCTGTGAAGGCGCCGCTGTCGTGAGCGCGCGTGTGGCGGGCCTGTCGCGCGTGGAGGCGTCCGCTCCGACCCGGTGGCGTCGGGTTGCCGGTGCGGGCGTGTCGTGCCTGGAGTTCCCGGGGCGCCTCGCCCCTCTCGAGGCGGGGGAGAGCGCAGGGCTCCGGGTGCGCTGGAGCCCAGGCCCTCCGCCGCTCGTCGGCGGGCCCGTCACGGGTTCTGGCCGTCTGTTTCGGGGGGAACAAGAAGTGGCATAGAGATAAAAACTCGGAGGTCCGCGCGGATTTCTCGGATCCGCGCCGGACCCCCCTGGCGGCGCCTTCGGCGCCGCCCCTGGCGCGCTCCGCGCGCCAGGGGGGGGCTCCAGCGCGGATCCGAGAACTCCGCGCGGACCTCCGAGTTTTTATGTTTATGCCATTTTTTGTTCCCCCAGTTTCGGGGGATGCTTGGCAGCGGGAGCTCGCGCCGAAGCTCAGATTGGGTCTCGGCGTTTCCCTGACGGCCCCTGTCAGGCCAACCCGGGCTCGGAGCTCGCTGAGGGGCAGCGAACGCGATCGGTGCTTCTAGGGCGACGGAGGAGGGGGCAATGCTCGTAGGGTAAGAGCCAACGTCAGAATCTCAGCAGCCCAATCGCTTGTAAGAGCAAACCTAAGATCTGAGCTTCTCCCGAAGGGGGGTCGTAAGGACTGCTATTGACGGATCAACGGCGCCGGCCGACCGTGCTGGGATCTGGCCCTGAAACCAACGCTGCCCCACCCAGCTGCCCCCAAACCCGAGTCCCCTGAACCTGAGTCTTACACCCTAGGCGATGCTTAAGAAAACGTGAGTTTTCGGCCAGAGTCTTGATTCTATTCTTACTGCTTCGATGTAAACCCTAACATTTTCATAGAACGTTTTTTTAAAAATTCGAATCCTGAGACTATGCATGTCTTAACCCATGATTTCTTGAGCACTTCGCAGGATGTACGTCTCCCTGACCCCTGCCGGGGTTCCCGTGGGCGCCAGCCTCGCTGGGCCGGCAGGGCGAGCGCACCTCGAGCCTCTTCGCCGGAGCTCCTGCTAAACACCACAGTGCTGCTGGCCTCGACGGCCGCCTTCTCGCAGCGTGCGCTGGGGCTGCGGCCATCCCTCTCCGCCTCGCGCGTGTCGATGCGCGGCTGGAACATTCTGGGCCTCCCAGATGGGGTCGGAGTAGCTGGGGTCGGAGTGTCGCGCCGCATCGCTGGTGCATCGGCGATGTGGGGCCCAATTCTCTCCACGCCGACGTCGCCGATGCATCGCCGACGTCGCCAGTGCATGGCCGATGCATCGCCGATGCATCGGCGATGCATCGCCGATGTATCGGCGATGCGGCGGGATCCTCCGACCCCATCTACTCCGACCCCATCTAGGAGGCCTCTGAATATTGCCCCTCCCGTTGTCCGCGCCCCTTGCGACCGAGGCACGGCTGCGGCACTGCCCGCCGTCCTGCCTCGCCACCCCTTCTCTTGCGGATGCTCGCTTCGCTTCGTTCCCCGCTCTCTTGCATGTGCCTCTTTCGCTCACGGGGCATCCTGCCGCTAGCATGTGGCCCCTGGTGGATGCTCTGGGCGACCGCCGACAAAAGAGTGTAGCGTGGCGACCAGGTAGTTGAAAAGCTTCCCCCCCCCCTTCCTCCTCGCCTCACCCCCGGTCCTCCGTCTCCCCGTTCCTCTCCTCGCCCCCCTTCCAGTCCATCCCTGACAGGGTCCAGGCCGATCCGATCCATGCGCTTCGATTTCGATCCCGGCTGGTCTCCGATCCGATTCCGATCCCTACGCTCCGACGGATCCGATGCGGCCCGATGCGTGCCCGGCGCTGTCCCGGACTGGTGCGTGCTTGCGGCCCGATCCGTGCTGGCGCAGCCGATCCGATCCGATCTTACCAGCCTCGAACGTATCCCTATCCCTAAGATTGAGACGCCAAAAGGCGATGACAGTCTTGGGGACTCGCCCTCAAAAAACAAGGGAATCCCTGAGACTGGCATCGTGATGAGGAGGTGCCCAGCATAGGGATAGGGATATGTTCCAGGCTGGTAACGATCCCGACTCCGTGCCGATCTGAGGCAGCCCGACGCGCCGCACACGCCGACGCCTTCCGATTTCCCGACTCGGTGTCGATGAATCCTGTCTTCCTCCCTCTGCCTTCCCCCTTCCCACCCCTGTCCCCCGCGCCTCCCGCCCCTTCCCCTCGCCCCGTCCCGCGCTCCCGCCCCGGCTTGGTTGTCCCCCCCCCCGCTCTCCCGCTCGGCCCACCCTTCAGACAGGAGTCGGAGGGCACCAACTATACACCAACACCGATCCTGGCCCAGGATCACCCTGGGCCCAGGATCGCTGTATATGCCTTCTTGCGCAAGGCAGGAGGGCGTATACACCGATCCTGGGCCCAGGGTGATCCTGGCCAGGATCGGTGTTGGTGTATAGTTGGTGCCTTCCGAAGGAGGGGGAGGGGACGCTTCCGGCTCGCCGCCGCAGTTGCCGACCGGCTACAGCGCCCGGACGCCGACGACGGCGTGCCCCTCCGAGGACTGCCTGGAGGAGCAGCGCTGCGACCGGCGCGCCTCGCGCCAGGCCAGCCTCACGCCGCACGCGCTGCGCCCGCCGGCGGCGGCGCTGCGCGCCTAGCGCGCAGCCCCGCGGCCGCGACGGCCGCAGCAGGGTGCAGCTCTCCTGGCGCGGGAGGCGGAGGATCGGTGGTGAGGGAGAGAGCGAGGGGCAGCGAGGGAGCAGGGAGCAGATCGGGGGCGGAAAGGAGGGGGGTGATGACCAGGGGGGGGGTGGGTATCATGGCGGGGGCCATGATATTTCCCCAGATTTCATGGCGCCTCTTCTTATTTCATTACGTCCCTGGCCCCCCCGCTAGGCCGCGCACATGCCGCCGGTCATGATTTGAACCCCCCCTCTTGGACACCCCCCTCTTGGCCGCTCCCGAGCAGAGGGGATGAGGATGGAAGAGAGGACTTGATCAACTGATGGGAGGGGGAAGGAGGGACGTCAGAAGAGGAAAAGGTACCCATACCGCTCCCCGTCGCCCGTCTTTTCCCCCGCTTGGTCCTCCTGGGAGTCTCTCGTCGCCACTGCTGGATTCGCCTCGACATTCTGGTTTGAACGCAGCCCAGGAGAGGTCTGGGAAGTGGCGGTACCGGTAACCTCATGCCCGTGAGAATAAACACTAGGGGATAATAAAGTTCGGGGTTCAGGGAGAGATAATAAAAGTAGCCCAGCAGACCTCAGCATAATCTCGAAGTAAGAGATGATCAAGAGGAGACCAAGCCGAGCACGTTTTGAGACATCCTTGGCGTTTAGTTTTCATAGAAATATCCTCAACAATTGCTTATCTCTCATGAAAATTGTTTTTTTGTAAGTGCTCGTGTAGGGTAGCTCATGTGCCTCAATTTCCATGGATAATCAACCCCAGAGATAAAAAAGTTCAGGCGAGCGTGGGGACAGAGAGAAATATAAAAGAAGAAGAATACAGTAGAATAATAATAAGAAAGAAGAAGAAGAGGATAATAAGAAGAGGACGAAGAAAGGAAAAATCCAAAGTTCCAAATCTATCAGTTTTAATTTACAAACGCTTTATGAACATTGATTTTTTAAGTGCTCGTGTAGGGCAGCTCATGTGCTTCATTTTCCATGGATAATCAACCCCAGGGATAAAACAGTTCAGGCGAGCGCGAGGACAGATAGAAATATAAAAGAAGAAGAGGAAAGTAGAATAATAATCAGAACATTGCTCGTTTCGTTTGAATCTGCCTCCCAAAATTATTGGTTTCGCTTGACACATCCTGAAAAGTGTGATCGCTTCGCTTGATGTTGCTATATCAACATCGCTTGATGTTGCTATCTCAACATAGCGTTTCGAGGTGATAATGAAGTTCGGCCTCAGCGCTCGCCGCCCAATTTGAATTTTGTATAGGGCGACGATTATCAACTCTAAACACTGAAGGGGGGGGGGGTCCCTTTATTATCATCGGCATGCGGTTACCGTCTGATTTCTCCAGGAAGGTGATCCGAAGGGAAGCGGGCGCGCCCTTTTTCCCCTACGTCTGCTCCTGGACCTTGCCCATCCCCCCCCCCCCGCTTCCTCCGCCACTCCTTCATGAACCTCTGTGCCGAATGCGGAGGCCGCTCGGAAGTCAAAGCCCAGGAGTATTGGGCTCCAGCCCAAGATCCCACGAACCGGGGTGGAGTCCATTCCCACCAGGGAGACTGGTACTCTTCTCTGGTGGCAGGGCGTTCGTCCAAGCTCTCCCAAGCACCCTCCCTCTTCTCGCACCAGACTTCTGCTCATGACCCATCCTCCCTCTTCCTCTTTCTTTCCTCCTGCCACCCCCCTTTCCCGGGGAGCGGCACTGATGGATGTGAGGGGAAGGGACGGGGAGGCCGGGCGGGGTGTGCAGGGGTTGGGGTAGTTGAGCAGATATGATGGGCACGGGACGGGATTGGATGAATGCTGATGCTGATGCTGATGCTGCTGATGATGATGATGCCGATTCTGATGATGATGCTGATGCTGATGCTGATGATGCTGATGATGAGGATGCTGGTGAGGATCTGGATGAGGATTAGGATGGTGACGATTATCACGATGCTGATGCTGATGATGATGGCGATGCTGCTGCTGATGATGCTGCTGATGCTGATGATGATGTTGACGATGCTGATGATGATGATGATGACGATGGTGCTGATGGTGATGATGACGACGATGACGATGACGATGACGATGATGCTGCTGATGATGAGGAGGAGGACGATGGTGATGATGATGCTGATGATGATGAGGATCTTGATGATGCTGATGCTCATGCTGCTGCTGGTGATGACGGTGACGATGACGATGACGATGACGATGACGATGACGATGATGATGATGATGATGATGATGATGATGATGCTGATGATGATGATGATGATGATGATGATGATACTGCTGATGATGACGATTATCATGATGATGATGATGATGATGATGATGATGATGATGATGTCAGTGGTGCTGGTTATTGTGATCATGGTGGTGCTGGAGATCATTATGATGATGGTGGTCATGATGCTGATGCTGGTGATGGTGACAGTGACGGTGATGAAGATGCTGCTGATGATGATGGCGATGATGATGACGATAACGATGCCGATGACGAATATGATGACTATGCTGAATGAGGTCGTTCATGATTTCGTTGATGTTGTTGGTTGTAATGATCATGATGATGATCATTATTATGATGTTGATGCTGCTGATGATGCTGCTGATGACGAAGAACAAGATGATGATGCTGATGATGATGATGCTGCTGCTGATGATCATGGCGATGACGAGGAGGATGAGGATGCTGCTGCTGCTGCTGATGATGATGATGATGATGATGCTGATGCTGATGCTCATGATGCTGATGATGAGGAGGATGGTGATAGTGCTTGTGTTGTTGGTGATGATGATGATGGTGCTGCTGCTGCTGCAGATGATAATGATGATGATGATGATGATGATGATGATGATGATGATGATGATGATGATGATGATGATGATGATGATGATGCTGATGATGATGATGATGATGATGATGATGATGATGACGATGACGATGACGATGACGATGACGATGATTATGATGATGATGAATGATGATTGATGATCTGATTATGAGGATGATTGAGAGGATGATGGATGATGCCGGATGATGATGATGGATGATGATGATGATGGATGATTTGAATGACGACTGATGATAGATGATGATGATTATGATGATGATGATTAGAAGAAAAAGAAGAAGAATCATCTGATGATGGGAAGAATTATGATGATGATGATGATGATGATGATGATGATGATGATGATGATGATGATGATGATGATGATGATGATGATGATGATGATGATGATGATGATGGGGGTGCGTGCACAGTAACGACTTAGCAGGGTTTGGGGGTGTCGATCTCATCGATCCTCATTGGTGTTGCTCCGAAGTCATCCTGGCTCGAGGGTTTCTGACACCGAATGCAGTCGTGCTCGGGGTCCTTCTGGCCACTTTGACCATCGTCCTGCGGGACTTCGCCGATCGGCAGTGAGCCCACAGCTCCTCGGTGGCCCCTGAGGGCCCTGCTGAGTGGGTCGCGCCGCCTGCGCCCGCCTCGAGGGTGGAGGTCAGCTGCGGCGGGGCCACCCTGAGCGCTGACGCGGTGGAGGACATCGTGCGACGGGCGCGTTCCGAGGCTTGCGTCTGCGAGCTGACTTGCGGTTCACCCGACCACGACGTTCGCATCGTGATCTTCCTGATGGGCGCCACCTGCGCGGGCCAGTCCTGCATTCTGGTGGTCTACTGTGGTTGGCCGTGGGTGTTCGACAGGCGACATGACGTTGGTCGCGGCGCAGCGGGGGCGGCTCGGGGACACATGAAGGCCGTTTTCGGTGTAGGAGTTGCCGACTAGCCTTGCCCCAGGGAGGATCGTCGTCATCAGATACCCAGGCGAGGATCTCTGGCATGAGAGGGTGATCATGGGCCCTGGGCTGCGAGACGCCGCTGGGGACATCAGTAAGTGGTGGATCCTGACCCCCGACGGAGACTTCTACGAGGATGACATCTCCGTGGAGGCTGACGAGGGCGATAGGTAGGTCATGCTCGACCTTGCAGGCTCCCGCCCCCGCGCGCTGCGGGGCAGGTTCTACAGGTTCGCAGGCGACGCCTATCCCCGCGACGACCGTGTCCGACACGAAGCCCAGCAGGCGGTGGCGAGGATGCGGTCTGCGGGACAGGAGCCTCCTGAGCTGCTGCACTTCATGAGCGAGGATGGCGTGCTGGTCCCGCTGGCCAGTGTGGGACGCCGCCGCCGACGAGGGGTTGCTGCTGGGAGGGTCGTCGGGGCTCCTGGAACGCCCGCCGCGATCGACGGCACCGACACCCCCGTGCTGCCGCTGCCCGGCGAGCTGGCGGCCGCTGGTGCTGGCGGCGCTCGCGAGGCTTTCGGGTCGGTGGCGCCCTACCTGGCCGTGCTTCCCGAGCGCCCTGCCCTGCGGGATAGGCTGGCTTGGCTGGTGACGGAGAACGCCGACGGGCACGAAACGCTGGGCATGGAGGTGGCCCCGTGCGCGGGCGACGTGATCGTGACGACGACCGACGGCTTGGTGCACAGGCCTGGTAGCTTCTTCCGGTTCAGGCTGTCGCGAGTCACGACTGCGTGGATTTCGTCAGGAACCTGAAGTCCGATTACAGGGGCCTCCAGGGCGCCGCGGGGCCGACGGCTATGGCCGCGCGTCGCGCCAAGGAGGCCCCTCCCTCGGACGAGGACGTCCGCGCGCTGCGGGTCGACTGCGACGAGGTAGGGGGGAGGTTCAAAAGCTGGAAGAAGGCCGTGCACGAGAGTCGGGGGGGGCCATCTCGGCCGTGGAGGTCCAGGGCCCGCCAGGCACGCTTCACCTCGCTCGACGCATGGAGCGGAATGGGGTCGACCCTCGTCGGGGGCGGCAGGAGTTCGCCCGCGGCAGCAACATCTCCAAGACGGACCGCGTCTATCGCGATATGACGACGCCGGCGGAGAGTTTAAAGTTGGTCGATGAGTACGGCCAACCTAACCTGGGCGCGTCGGCTGGCATCGAGAAGATGGCTCGATGGATGCTG